AGTAAATGAATATTTTATATATATGAAATATTTTTGCTTGTTAAATAAGGAGAATTCGAGTGTCTTGATCAGACAATTGAAAACTATATATATATATATATATATATAAGTTTGGTGTGAGAACCATGAGAACCATATTTGATGCTATTTTTAATATTGTATGGTGCTAGCATTCTCACAAATGCTAATAAAAACTTTATTGCTATTTTTAATCAAATACATCCTAGTTAAAAATAGCACTAGAACACAATCAATCATAACACTACATACAATTAAAAAAAACGATTCTCACGGTTCTCACGCTAGGACTTGGTTCTCATTTGAACCACATCCTATATATATATATATATATTATTGTTGATCCTAAAAGGGTTTTGTGGTCCATTTGAAAAAATAGATTTAATGTTTCTTCACTTCACATTTGAATGATAGCAGTGCAATAACATATTCATGCAATAATTTCATTATTGAAATATTACCACGAAGAAGAAAATAACGTTGTCCTTAGCTTCAAAGCGCCAGAAAAGGATGTCGATCGTGAGATTAAAAGCAAATTAAAGTATTCTTTCTATTATTTGTTCATGACCTTGAATACTTGTATTAATAGGTCACGTCTTGTCTCAGGTAAACCCTACCGTAATGCTTATGCCAAAATAGAAAATAAAAAATAAAAATAAGAGACTAAAGGTCAAATGGAAACTATATATACTCATTGACACATATAAATTATTATTTTGACTTTGAGAATTTAATTCCATTAAGACAAATGTTTAATAGTTTTGTTTCAAGTGCTTAAGAGTACAAACATTTATACAAATAGTTTCCTTTCATGTTTCAGTCAATTAGATAAATTATACTTTCTCTGTTTTTAATACATGTTGTTGTAGGATGTTAACATTTTTGCAAATTAATTATTGTTGGAAATGTTTTATTCATTCTTTCAACTTTATTCTCTTTAACAAACTTTATTGCTTATCATTATCTTTAAAAACCAACCATTGATAATTCAAACACTAAATTTATGAGGATTAATATATAAGATTATTACACATCCCATGAAAATCGTAATTTAAAAGTTTTAAATTAAAACGACATCTAAAAAGAAACAGATGGAATATATGTATAAGTATGACATTATATGTACACGTGTTCAACTAATGAAAGACGATGAACAACCAAGTGAAGAAGAAAATCCCATTCCTTGGAAATGGACATATATAATTTGTATTCCTTTAAATTTACAAATCAATTAAGTCATCACAATTTATAATACACTTTTAATTATTAGCATTCACCCCACAACCCTCTTTCTTCAAACATTTTCATATCAAGATAATCTTTAAAACTCTAGTTAAGCCTAAAAGAAGTCCCACTTAAAATTATAAGCTTATTTTTCTCTAGATTAGACTTTACCTTCAAATAAACCATCAAAAAGAAAGAAAAGAAAGAAAAGAAAAAATGTCCCACATGAAATTATTATGTTAAATTTCTCTATGATGAGACAACATTTAGCAACTTTAACTTCAAAATTATCATTGTACCATCTCAACTTTGTTTAAAGTTTTTTTTCCCCCCATTGAATGAGATGTATCTTCTTTGTCCTTGTCCGTGAAACATGGCTACCTACCCTAAAGAAATTTGTTAATCAATCCAAAAATATAACAAATTAAAAATATCAATTAAATGGAGTTTACTTGTTAACTTCAAACTCTTCCATTAATATTACTATCTACTTACTGATGACGACCCGATAATGGAATTTTATCTTGAACGGCCATTATTAATCAACTTGTTGCAATTTATTTCGGAATAATAAAAAGTTTCATTTCATTTCTACAACTATACATTTTTGGATGAGAATACACCATTTTTATAAACTATTAAACCACTATACATTTTCATATTATAATTATAATAATACAATAACAATTGTCTTTTACTATTTATTTATTTATTTTCTGACTTTGACATGTGGAATTGTTTTTGTTGTTTACTGACTTTTTATTTAATGATTGTGATATTGCAACAAGTTTATCCTCACAGCTGAAAATAAATTGATGAATATCCAAAACGCATCTATGTGTCGCTACTTGTGATTTGTGAAGCTGAAGGTTCCGTGTAAAGAAAATTTTTCGTTTATAAACTTTTCTAGTTTGTGGGTTATATCATGTGTGTGAATTTGGGTACTGTTTGTTGGGGTTACATCACAAATTTATAAATGGCTAAAATTTGCTGTTTATGATATATTCATGTCAATGTTAATTGATGCCGTTTCGAACAAAAGGGTGGTTTTACTTTTAACTTTCAAGTTCAGTTGTTTTCTGGGTTTTGATTAGCACGATTTGTTTAATGTATTAAACTTTAAATATAAAAGAATAAGTTGACAATAAGGTATATATTTGGTTATAATTTAATTGAGTTGAAGAATGAATAAATAAATTTAATTTATTCCAAATATATCATATTAATATTAGATGAATAAACGTGTATAATGATATATTATACTACCAATTGGTCAAAAGAAAATATAAAATCTACACAAAAATTTAAAAATAAATAAATAAATAAATAAAAAATCCGTCTCGTAAGTTAACAACGTGAGTTGCTAGCTACTTACTCTGGTTATGGTTATTTACACGTTTTAATGAAATTTTAATCCGAATTTATTTTTACGACCTTATGATTTATATACATGTAGCCAGAAGATTCGTGAATGATATTTAGGAATTAAAAAAATGAAAAAAAAAAAGAAAAGAAAATTACATCTAATACGTATTCCTATATATACAGGAAAAATAATTTGGTGTCGTAAAGTTTATTACAATAATCTCATCCATTTTAAAAAATTAGCATTTTTAAGCTTCATATAATGGAGTTGTAGTTTTTGCATGTCTGCAAGTGGAGTTAAAGATGTAAACGAGTTGAACTGAATAGTCTGAGTTCAAGCTTTTGATACTCAAATTCGTACTCAATCCTCATCACACCTAGTCAAAATTAAACCAACTTTAAAAGAGTTTGAAGATTAGATCCGAACTCACAACAAATTCAAATTCAAATTGTACGAACTCCAAAGTCCCAACTCATATGAGCTGAAATCAGATCCGAAAACCAACCACTCACTGTTGGGTTTCTCCTTTTATCGGACTTGGAGATCTCATCCGCTGAAAAAACTAGCAGGCCCAATTAACCTCTGATTCTTAGCCCACAAGCTAGATCATTTGGATGTATCTCAGCCCACGATTGTTGGGCTCATTCGCAGAGTTGATCCATCAAAGCTTCGTAACACAATCAAGGGTAGGTTCGTAAATAAATATAAACATTTGAATAATTCACTCTTTATTTTTGTTTACGCTTTTACAATTAGTATCGCATGGCAT